AAGTACACCCTCCATTTTTTATATACAAGACCATTATCAAAATTATTATCTGCAGCTATATAAGACTACTAACACTGATCGACATAAATATTGATGGAGCGAGAAGATTGGTTTGCATGCGTTGCATTAAACAACCCATAAGGAGTGAGAGAGTTGGCTTATTCTGTGTTGGAGAGAAAAATACACATTAGTTTACATGTCAAATGAGAAAGAAAGCTGGTTTTCAACATTGGTTTAAACCGGTAATCATTTTTACCTTGGTACATGTAATGTAGGTTTATTGCTTTGTATACAAAAATGAAGGGAGTACTAATTTTATGGAATCCCCTATTTTCAGTTAGCTTTAATAAGTCAAAAGCTTTTTTTACATAATTAATCAAAAGCTTACCAAGAGCAAATTATATGTGTACCACTGTCGATTTACATGTATATTCAAATGGTACCGGATTTTTTTATTCCAAATATGCCACTAAAAATTTGCACATGATACAATTTGTCACTTTTGTCACTCATATGAAGAAACAAAAAAAAAGATTACTCGAAGACCCAATATCTTGTTCCAGGAAGAAAGTATCATGATTTTTTTATTTAGCTACCCTTAAAAGAATCTTGATTTAATTTTGAGAAATAAACAAATAATACATTTAATCAAAACCGTTCAACTAGACTAGACATAGAAAGAGACCTTCAATGGAAGAGTTTAGTTTATTTTGCAAATTTATGTAAGTTTTTGAATATATGTAATGATATTGTAGTAAATAGAAACAATCAAAAGGAAAACACTCTACCCCAGGTCTCGTGAAAGTAAATTGGGACAACACCCAGACTATCCGTAATGAGAGTATGATAACTAGTACTCCCTCCATCCGGTGAAGAGTGTACATCTAGAAATTTTAGGACAAATTATGAAGTTGAGTAAAAAATGCATTGGAAATGTGCAAGCCATCATCTCTCTCCTCTTTGATTACCCAACCCCTAATGAGCTAAGTGCATGTAGAAATTAAAAAGACCATGTGTAGATTGCTATTGGTCTTGATTACCGTGTGACGAGAGAGAAGTATTTTTTCCCACTTTAAAGTGCATTGGGAAGTTAGAAGTACACTCTTTTGTGGACAAATTTTGAAGCTAGATGTACACTCTTCACCGGATGGAGGGAGTAGTATCATCCATGCCAACTAGGCAATTTTAATTAGGTGACATAAAATTAAACTACCCTTAAAAGAATCTTGATTTAATTTTGAGAAATAAACAAATAATACATTTAATCAAAACCGTTCAACTAGACTAGACATAGAAACAGACCTTTAATGGAAGGGTTTAGTTTATTTTGCAAATTTATGTAAGTTTTAAGCTGAACTTAACTGAACAAGCCAAGCAATCCATTTTGTCACAATCACAAGAAATGTGTCCCCCACCGTATATTTTCCCCTTCTGTTTATCCACTACCTTGGTTGAACCTAAGCAAAAGAAAAAGAGGTCCAAGAAATAGACCCATTTAGACTAGGTTATCTTCCAGCTTCTTTTATTTTATAAAATTTGTTGAACATGTAATGTATGTGGTCTGGTTTAAATGAAAATCACTTGGTTTGTTGAAATCCCGTTTGAAATGTACACGAGCACTGTTGGATGACCGGCTTGTGTATAACTGTCTGCAGACACATCCGCTAATAGATACCGTGTCCATTTATGGGTCCGCGTTGGAGATGTCTGGCCCTAATAGCAATCTTATGTACAACCAATGATTTTTTTAGTGGATAGGATCAATGGAGTTAGTTGTAGTTTTAATCTCCCTCTCCCCGGTCCCCTTAAAATCATTGTTTGGACACAAATTTTCAATATAAGTTGGCCATTATTTTTTTTACTATGATATACTTGAAAATATAAAAACATATGTTGTGTAGGATTTTTTTAAGAAAAGAAAACACACTAGTAATTTTTTTAATCCAATTTGAACATATGTAATGATATTGTACTAAATAGAAACAATCAAAAGGAAAACACTCTACCCCAGGTCTCGTGAAATTAAATTGGGACAACACATAGACTATCCGTAATGAGAGTAACGAGAGTACCACACATGCCAACTAGGCAATTTTAATGAGGTGACATAAAATCAAATAAAAAAAGTTAAGTATTATATTATGGTACTGTATCATAATAAATGTTATGATACTAGCATGTGTCATGCAAGACAATAAGTACAGTCATTTAAAATACTATGCACTTGAACTAGTCTACGAATAGCCTTATACTAATCTATCTATCTATTATATAATTAAAACAAGAGTCAAACAAGCCATCATGTTTATCCACATACGCTAATATTATTACGACCGTTTGATCAGATTTATAACGGCTGAGATTTAAAAGTTTCTACGTAACATGATAAGATGTTTGTTTTAGCATATTGAACCGTCACGTCTCTCTCTATATGTTAAACCGACACTTAAACCGACACGTATAAAGGTGTATAATAAGAAGTGGGAGACATGAATAAATTTTGGAAAGAAGAGAGGAGATCTACGTGTAGGACACCTATGTTCGGAATGCCACCTAAGACAAGGGACGTGCAATTAGTACCGATTGGAATTCTAATACAAGAAAAAAAAGCCAGCCACGTTAGATGGGTCAACCTAGCACAAAAGTCAGTCTAATCCATCACGGATCTACACATGTCGGATCTACATGGAAACAAACAAGTCCTTTTTTTACAAGGACACGTACATGTAACACCTGTGATTGAAGAAGATACGAAGCCGCCGTGTAGCATCTCGGACAAGCTGGTTCCAGCAGCCGATTGGAAAACAAATACGAGGCAGCTTCCCCAAAACCCATCATGCACTCAGACACTAGCCACTAAAGAAAGAAATCGTCGTTCTAGAAAAAGTAAAAGAGAATATAGTAATAAAAGATCAAATAAAGGTGTGCTACAAGTGTATTTGTTGTCGCAAGAAAACGTCTGTGCAATAAAAAGATGAATATGTGTTCATGTCGGATAAGAATACAGCCAGTCTATTAGGTTGGCCAAATGGAGCTTGCCATGAAATAACAATGCGTGCATGTTAGTATTGGATTCCAGCACGACATATTAATTAGGCTCCGGCCGGACGAAATGCATGTATGTTAGTGTTAGATTATACGTTATGATCTAACTACAATGGTCAGAACATTAAAACAGTATATATGCCCATTGAAGATTAGCCGTGATGGATGGCCAGACTAGGTACAGTCCGGTTGTAACAAAGATCACGTCCGGTTAAAAATTGAGAGCGCATGCATGTTGCAGGTAGGAGTTGTAGATGTTGTATTGCATGCAGTGACATCACTGCTGATGTCATCACCGAAGAGGTTCAATAATTTTGCTCAGTATGGACTGCTAGCCAGGTTAGTTGGACCCGGAATTTGGTTAGCAGTTGATGATTCTTTTTTTTTTGCATAGCACTACATGAACATCAATGTACCAAATATATTTACGTACGATCTTTTTTTGGGGGTTGGATAGTAAGATTAAATGGAAGATTTGTATATGTTCATACATATAATAAACTTTTGTATGCAAAGTAGAACACCCATTTATAAATATGATGTTAAGCGTAAAATTAAAATGTGCAATACGAATGAAATGAAGTTATGGGTCAACGTGCATGGGTTATTTAAATGCGTCAACTTACACGGGTTTGACCACGTGACACATATTGTAAACAATCCAAACAATTCATAAAAAAACTTCCACGGGTTTAATAGTATATTGTCAAAAGTGAAACAATAACATGAGTAGGACAGAGTGTTGCGGGGTGTTCTTGAATCGTGATGATTTGAAGTTAAGAGTTCCGGAAGGTGATGGTCAAGTGGAAGCATAAAGCTTCCCTAACACCATTAATTTGAATAGGAAACCAAAATTGTGTTCTGGCCGCAAAAAAATGGGTCAAGTACACCTCATCAATTACAAAATGTAGGACATTAATTGTCCAAGTTCATGATTTATATGTGATTATCATTCTCCTAAGTATTAATGAAAAAATATTTATGATCAAAGTTTACAATTAGATAATGTATAGCATGGACTATGCAACCAGGTTCTTAAATCATTACCTAAACCCCATTGCATCTATGAGAAAGAATAAGCTATGATGATCGGACATAGTGAAAGATAATGTCCTAAAAAATGGAGAAGACAATGTGAATCTAGGTGATGAGAGTGAATATCCACTCCTTAAATTGCGATAGATATGGAAGTGAGATAGGCAGAAGAACATGAACATGATCCAAGAAACTAAACCATGATCAAAGTGACCGAGGGAGAACACATTAGCATAACAGCATGTTAAGTATATACTAAAATGTTGGAATTGTGCTAAAAATACGACTCAGTGCAAACAAAATAGACACGCTCACACAGAACAATCATGAGAACCAGAATTGATGAATCATTGAGTACATGAGGTATGAAAGATCAAAGAGTTGGAAGAGAAATAATGGTTTGGAAATTCTTTGTAAATAAGGGTACATAATACCAATGGGCATGCATAATAGGCAATTAAAGTAAGACGTGGATGTGACAATGCATGACATTTCCCTAATGGAAACCTTCCCACAATACCAATAAGGATACACCAATATTCAGTTGATCCTCATTTAAAATTTCTATAGAAGATAGAGGATCCTCATACTGTGGTGCTATTTTTTGGTGTCTAATTTTGGACAGTGAACCAGATTAAGGAGAAATCATATGGCCAGATGGGATATAACAGTTGTGGTAAAACTCAAATTAAACAACGCACAACAACTCTAGCCGCGCAAATGCGCGGGTCACCCGCTAGTTTTAAGTATTTTTAAAGACATTGTCGGTTCAAAATTCAGATTTTTGCTTCATCCTTGGGTAAGATAATAAAAAATAATAGTAATAATCACGGCCTTGAAAAGGTCTATGCTATTATTGCTTCTGTTGGAAGGAAAAATGAACAGTGATATTGAAAAGGTCAGTCCACGCGTGAATACCAATGCATGGGCTGACTCACTGCATGCATGCATGGACCTACCGACAGCATATATGCCTCTCACGCAGCTGCATGTCACCGGCGGCGGTACGACTGTTTTGCACGCATCATCACGAATTCATCATGATTCCGGTGGCGGCGTTCATTTTTCTGCTGTTCCAGCTCTGCATCTCGGCGGCGGCTGCTCAGGTCGCAGGAGGTGCGGGGCCGCCGCCGGCGAGCTGCCCGACCAGCTGCGGCAGCGTGAGCGTGCCGTACCCGTTCGGCATCGGCGAAGGGTGCTCCTGGCCGGGCTTCAACCTCAGCTGCGACCGGACGCGCGGCCGAGAGCGGCTGCTCATCGGCGGCCGCAGCGGCACCCTCGAGGTCGTGGACATCTCGCTGGCCAACTCTACGGTGCGCGTCATGGACACCGCGGGCGCCGTGAACATCACCTACCACGGGACCCCCGAGGGCAACGGCACGTGGGGCGGCCTCGCCGGCGCCCGCGCCGGCCCGTCCGTGGTGTCGGAGACGCGCAACCAGTTCCTTGTCACCGGGTGCAACGTGCAGGCCACGCTGCTCGGGAAGACCGGCAACGTCATCGTCGGCTGCTCCGCCTTCTGCGCCGTCAACGACCGGTGGTCCAGCGCCGCCACGAGCTCGCTCGAGGAAGTCGCCAAGTGCGCCGGCATCGGCTGCTGCGAGACGCCCATCCCCATCGGCCGCCCGTCCTACGGCGTCGAGTTCAAGTGGGTGGATCCCAACCACGAGAAGGACGGCGAGCTGCCGGCGTCCGTGCGCATCGCCGAGAGGGGCTGGTTCGAGGGCGTCTCCGCCGCGCTCCTCAACACGTCGCTCACGGACACGTCTAGCCGGACGGCGATCCCCGTGGTGCTTGAGTGGGCGGTGGAGTCCAGGCCGCTTCCGCAGCCGCAGGATACGCTGGGCACGTCGGGCTGCCCCCAGGACAAGGCGAGGAGCGCGTGCCGGAGCAGCCTCAGCTCATGCCTCAACGTCACCGGCAACTACCGCACTGGCTACGTGTGCCGGTGCGAGGACGGGTACCAGGGCAACCCATACCTCGCCGACGGATGCCAAGACGTCGACGAGTGCGCGCTGCCCGGCACCTGCTCCGGCGGCGAGTGCACCAACACGGCCGGCGGATACATATGCCAGTGTCCGAGTGGGGCCCGCGGCAACCCCCATGTCAAAGATGGCTGCGTCAAATCTTCCTTAGGTAAGCACGACACCACAACATCAGATCAGAGAGAGATACTTTTTTTTCAAAAAAAAAATTGCGTAAAGAGAGAGACTGTTCTTGCTCTGTTTCACATCAGAGACACGTTTGCTCTCATATTTTCCCAGGTTTAAGTGTCGGCATAGGAATGGGCAGCGGCGCTGGTCTTCTACTCATGGTGCTTGGTACCATCTTTTTGACCAGGAAGATGAAGCGCCGGAGGGCAAAAATGTTGAAGCAGAAGTTCTTCAAGCAAAACAGGGGATATCTCTTGCAACAATTGGTGTCCCAAAAAGCAGACATCGCGGAGAGGATGATCATCCCCTTGGTGGAGTTGGAGAAGGCCACAAACAATTTCGACAAAGCACGCGAGATCGGTGGGGGAGGGCATGGCACGGTGTACAAAGGGATCATGTCAGACCTGCATGTTGTGGCGATCAAGAAGTCTAAGGTCGCAATCCAGAGGGAGATCGATGAGTTCATCAACGAGGTAGCCATCCTCTCTCAGATCAACCATCGGAACGTGGTGAAGCTCTTCAGGTGTTGCCTCGAGACAGAGGTGCCATTACTAGTGTATGAGTTCATCTCCAATGGGACTCTTTACCATCATCTTCATGCCGAAGAGCCTGAAGCATCGTTGCCATGGGTGGATCGTCTGAGAATTGCAATGGAGACTGCGCGAGCTCTTGCGTACCTTCACTCGGCCGTGTCAATCCCTATAGTCCACAGGGACATCAAGTCTCAGAACATTTTGTTAGATGGCAATCTCGTAGCAAGGGTGTCGGACTTTGGAGCTTCAAGGTGCATTCCGATCGATCAAACAGGGAATGCAACCGCCATCCAAGGGACATTCGGGTACTTAGACCCTATGTACTACTATTCGGGACGACTTACCGAGAAGAGCGACGTTTACAGCTTTGGTGTTCTCCTCATGGAGCTGCTCACCAGGAAAAAACCATGTTCATTTCGATCGCCGGAGGAGGAAAGCCTTGTCGCATATTTCACTACCTTGCTCGCAACAGGCGATCTAGTCTGTGTGCTAGATCCTCAGATTGTGGTGGAAGGGGGCAAGGAGGTTGAAGAGGTAGCTATGTTGGCAGCGGCATGCGTGAGGATGGAAGGAGACCACCGGCCGACCATGAGGCAAGTCGAGATGACACTCGAGAGCCTTCGAGTACCCAATGAAAATGTTAAGATGTATGAGATGGTTGCGCCTAGTTATACAGTGGATACGGGTAAGAGCGCAGAGGAGGTGAGCAGACAATATAGCCTAGAAGAAGAGTATTTGTTGTCATCAAGATACCCACGTTAGTGAATGAATTTTTGTGCTAGTTCAGTTTAGTTAGAAACCAAGGATTTTTTTACAGTTTTGCTAAAGCACATCTAGATGTGCTCTAAGTATTGCACATCTAAATCCTATGTCATTGATTTTACGGTAAGATCGTGCAAGCATTTTATTTTCTTTTTAGTTTGATTGAGTCACTTAGATGTGCCCTAGACATACCTTATTTTTTCATTGATTTGTACACAAGGATCAAAGGGCTTGTATGTTTTACTACTTTTTGTATTTTACGGAGCCTCTGTTAACCAAGTCATACACACCAGAAGTGGAAGGGTAGATGCGCTTCCTATTCCTGTCGAACCAACCCTTTAAATTTGAGTGGGGCTCGGATCTGAAGTGGACATAAGACACACAAATGTATAAGAAAGAAAAAGATTTTGACTATCAAGCGTCCTTGACTGGGTCAGTCAACACATATGAATAGTTAACCTTAGGTATGCAGGTTGTGACTAGTGTGCTACCAAAGAAAATGCAACACAGATCTTGATGGGTCTCTTTGACTAGGTGCGGAATTTATTATTATTATTATTATTATTATTATTATTATTATTATTATGATGATGATGATGATGATGATGATGATGATGATGATGTTGACATGTTTGATGGGTCTCTTTGACTAGGTGTGGAATTTATGCTAGTAGATCATGCATGCATCTGTGACAGCTGTGGAATGGGGATTTGGGGATGACACAAAGAAATTATACAAAAGAGTTCAATTGCTTGCTTCGAGATATATCTAGGTGCAACTTGTTTTTTCGAACACTCATATATACGCGCATACACTCATCGCAATGAACGTACACATGCATACCCTACCCTATTAGCATCTTTGACAGACTTAGCCGGCATATCATCTTGAAATTTACGAAGTCATCATACGCGCCTCGTCGTCGATGGGACTGTCCCTCTAACCATCCAACCATAGGTTGGTTTGCTATCTAGGTGCAACTTAGAAGAGTTAATAATACACAAGAGTTGTTGACATATTATTAACACAACAAACAAAGAAACGAGAAATAACCGTGATAATGTATTGTGGATAAGCTATTGTCTTTGTCATTCTTACTACTGAGATCCAATATGTTTTATGGTCACATTCCAGCCGAGCTTATGAAGCTTGTTCATCTTCAATATTGAGACCTTGCTTACAACAATATATCAAGGAGCATACCAAGATATATTGTTGATTGCAAAGTCGTGACACAAACAAGAGACTACAGTCTACAGTGCTAAACTTTTGTCTGCATTCACTTTTAATTCTGGGTTTATTAACAATGAACTAGTTGACTATGCTGGGAACTTCACAGTACTCATGAAAGGTCCAGAGAGATTATATACGGGAGAAATTATATATATGGTGAATCTTGATTTATCCTGTAATAAACTTACTGGAGAGATTCGTAAGGAAATGAGCACTCTCGCTGCATTGAAGAGCCTGAACTTATCAGGAAACATGAAAATCCTTGAGAATATTGGCGCCTTAGGGCATCTTGAACGGGCGCGCTAGATTTGGCATGCGCGGGAAAAACGCCGTTTTTGCGCGCGTGAGCCCGGTTGGCGCGCGAAAGTCTGGCACGCCAAAAAACTGCGTGCACGAAAAAGCCACAACGCGTCCAGCGCGCTCTATAAAACCCACGCGCGGGCGCCCACCAACTGTCGTCTCCATCGCCTCTCTCTTCCCGTCGCGACATTCTTCCTCGCCTTTGCTGGTGCCCCACCGCCGCCGCGCCCTTCTTCCTCTCCTCCACCGCCCTGCCACCGCCATGACCCCGTGCCTCCGAAGCAGCTCCGGCTTCCGCGGCGTCCACCTTCGCCCCTCCGATGTGTATTACGCGGTGATCCGCTCCGGCGATATATGCTTTGGGCTTGGAAAGTTCGAGACCGCTCGCGTGTATGACGCGGCGGCGTGGCGCCGCGGGAGGCCATGGGCGCAGATGAACTCCTCTGATGTGCGGACGTGCAGGCAGGCGCAGGAACTCGCACCTCCCCCGAGACTCATCACCGACGAGGATCGCCGCATCCAACGGAGGCGGGAGCGCCGCCTCCTCATCGCCGAGGCGGATGAGCACGCCATGGCGGTGTGGCGCGAGCGTGATGACCCACAAGTCTAGAGGATCTATCGTAGTCCTTTCGATAAGTAAGAGTGTCGAACCCAACGAGGAGCAGAAGGAAATGACAATCGGTTTTCAGTAAGGTATTCTCTGCAAGCACTGAAATTGCAGGTAACAGATAGTTTTGTGATAGGATAATTTGTAACGGGTAACAAGCAATGAAAGTAAATAAGGCGCAACAAGGTGGCCCAATCATTTTTGTATCAAAGGACAAGCCTAGACAAATTCGTATAATGAGAAAGGCGCTCCCGAGGACACATGGGAATTATTGTCAAACTAGTTTTCATCACGCTCATATGATTCACGTTCGTTACTTTGATAACTTGATATGTGGGTGGACTGGTGCTTGGGTACTGCCCTTTCTTGGAAAAGCATCCCACTTATGATTAACCCCTATTGCAAGCATCTGCAACTACAAAAGAAGTATTAAGGTAAACCTAACCACAGCATGAGACATATGGATCCAAATCAGCCCCTTACGAAGCAACGCATAAACTAGGGTTTAAGCTTCTGTCACATTAGCAACCCATCATCTACTTATTACTTACCAATGCCTTCCTCTAGGCCCAAATAATGGTGAAGTGTCATGTAGTCGATGTTCACATAACACCACTAGAGGAGAGACAACATACATCTCATCAAAATATCGAACGAATACCAAATTCACATGACTACTAATAGCAAGACTTCACACATGTCCTCAGGAACAAACGTAACTACTCACAAAGCATATTCATGTTCTTGATCAGAGGAGTCTTAATATGCATTAAGGATCCGAACATATGATCTTCCACCAAATAAACCAATTAGCATGAACTACAAGGAGTAATCAACACTACTGGCAACCCACATGTACCAATTTGTGGTTTTGATACAAGATTGGATACAAGAGATGAACTAGGGTTTGAGAAGAGATGGTGCTGGTGAAGATGTTGATGGAGATTGACCCCCTCCCGATGAGAGGATCGTTGGTGATGACGATGATGATGATTTCCCCCTCCCGGAGGGAAGTTTCCCCGGCAGAACAGCTCCGCCGGAGCCCTAGATTGGTTCCACCAAGGTTCCGCCTCGTGGCGGCGGAGTTCCGTCCCGTAAGCTTGCTTATGATTTTTTCTAGGGTAGAAGACTTCATATAGCAAAAGATGGGCACCGAAGGGCCACCAGGGGGCCCACGAGGCAGGGGGCGCGCCCAGTAGGGGTGGGCGCGCCCCCCACTCTCGTGGCCAGGGTGTGGGCCCCCTCTGGTACTACTTTCGCTCAATTATTCTTATTAATTCCAAAAATGACTTTCATGGAGTTTCAGGACTTTTGGAGCTGTGCAGAATAGGTTTCTAATATTTGCTCCTTTTCCAGCCCAGAATTCCAGCTGCCGGCATTCTCCCTCTTCATGTAAACCTTGTAAAATAAGAGAGAATATCCATAAGTATTGTGACATAACGTGTAATAACAGCCCATATAAATATCAATATAAAAGCATGATGCAAAATGGACGTATCAACTTCCCCAAGCTTAGACCTCGCTTGCCCTCAAGTGGAAGCCGATATCGAAAAATATGTCCACATGTTTAGAGATAGAGGTGTCGATAAAAATAAAATACGGACATGAGGGCATCATGATCACTCTTATAACAGCAACATATATAGATTTTGTCATATGGTTTCTTATGCTCAAGTAACAATCTATTCACAATGTCAAGTATGGTTCAGAAACTTCATTGAGAACTAACAAACTATAATCTCAGTCATTGAAGCAATTGCAATTTATCATAACATTGGGAAGAGTCAGGAATAGAGCTTTTCAGCAAGTCCACATACTCAACTATCATATAGTCTTCCACAATTGGTAACACTCACGCAATAGTTATGGTTATGGAGTTTTAATTGGACACAGAGAAAGATAGGGGCTTATAGTGTTGCCTCCCAACGTTTTACCTCAAGGGTAATGTCAACAATAATAGTTCATGCTAACTTACATCCAATTGGATACATATATATATCAGGATCTTTCCAACACGAGGTGCTTGCCAAAGGATAAAATGAAAAAGGGAAAGGTCAAGATCACCTTGACTCTTGCATAATGTAAATACATAAAGTAAAAGATAGGCCCTTTGCAGAGGGAAGCAGAGGTTGTCATGTGCTTTTAGGGTTGGATGCACAAAATCTTAATACAAAAGAACGTCACTTTATATTGCCACTTGTGATATGAACCTTTATTATACAGTCCATCACTTTTATTACTTCCATATCACACGATCATATAAAGCTTATTTTCTCCACACTAATAAGTCATACATATTTAGAGAGCAATTTTTATTGCTTGCAACATGACAACTTACTTGAAGGATCTTACTCAATCCATAGGTAGGTATGGTGGACTCTCATGGCAAAACTGGGTTTAAGGATATTTGGAAGCACAAGTAGTATCTCTACTTGGTGCAAGGAATTTGGCTAGCATGAGGGGGAAAGGCAAGCTCAACACGTTGGACGATCCATGACAATATACTTTAACTGAGATGTGAGAAAACATAACCCATTACGTTGTCTTCCTTGTCCAACATCAACTCTTTAGCATGTCATACTTTAATGAGTGCTCACAATTATAAAAGATGTCCAAGATAGTATATTTATATGTGAAAACCTCTCTTTCTTTATTACTTCCTATTAGTTGCAACGGTGACCAAAACTATGTTTGCCAACTCTCAACAACTTTTAAGCCTCATACTCTTTATGTGTGAAGTCATTACTATCCATAAGATCAATATGAAATCTTTTAGTTCTTTTTACTCTTTCTATTTTCTCAAGATCATAGCAAGATAGCAAAGTCCTTGACTCAACACTAATCTTTATTATATATAGC